CCTCAGCCTCCCAAAGTGCGGGATTACAGGCTGAGCCACCAGCCTGGCTGAGACCAGTAGTTTGAGACCAGCCTGGGCAACATAGCAAGACCTCATCACTACATAAATTAAAAAATTAGCTGGATGTGGTGGCACACGCCTATAATCCCAGCTACTTGGGAGGCTGAGGTGGAAGGATTGCCTGAGCTCAGAAGATCAAGGTTGTGGTGAGCCGTGATAATGTCACTGCCCTCCAGCCTGGGTGACAAAGTGAGACCCTGACTCAAAAGTAATAATAATAAAAGTAAAGAATGCCTTATTGAACTGTCCTCCATAATACCTCTGTGACTTTCCATGGGCTGTTCCCCTGGCATATAATGATATAATCTTCTTTTATTCTTCTCAGCTCAGTGAACTCCTACTTATGCTTCAAGACCCATCTAAAATGCTCCTTTTTCTGTAAAAATTTTCCTGATCTCAGCTGGGTGTGGTGGCTCACACCTGTAATCCCCGCACTTTGAGCGACTGAGGCGAGAGAGAATCACCTGAGTCCAGAGGTTTGAGACCAGCCTGGGTAGCTTGGCAAGACCTCTCTACAATCAATCAAAAAATTAGTGGGATGTGGTGGTTCCAGATACTTGGAAGGCTGAGGCGGAAGGATCGCCTGAGTCCAGCAGGTTGAGGCTGCGGTGTGGGCAACAGAGTGAGCCTCTGACTCAAAAAAAAATTTGTGCCGGGCTCGGTGGTTCATCCTGTAATCCTGTGCCTTTGGGAGGCTGAGGTGAGTGGATTGCCTGAGCCCGCGGGTTGGAGACCTGCCTGGGTAGCAAGACCTCATCTCTATAATTAATCAAAAAACCAACCGGTTGTGGTAGCGCATGCCTGTAATTCCGGCTAATCGGAAGGCTGAGGTGGAAGGATCGCCGGGGCCCAGCAGGTGAGGCTGCGGTGGCCGGGAGCAGCCACTGCACTCCAATCTGGGCGACCGAGTGAGACTCCAACTCAAAAAAAAAAAAAAAAATTTGTTTTCTGACCTCTGTGCACTTGGCACAAACCTTAGACCCTGCAATGCTGTCTTAGAGTTATTTGTTTCCCTGGGTTTTATTTGATTATGAATACTTGGAGACAGGAATCAGATGAAGGTCGGTTTGGGAATGAGAATGGTTTGTTGAATGACTGCTTTGTGGAAAGGAAAGCAGAAAGAGGGAGCCCCCAGCTGGGTCGAGTGCCACCTTTGCAAGGGTCAATTCCTGCCCCTCCGTCCAGACGTGGCTCAGGTCAGTCAGCACTCGTGACTTTGCTGTGTTCCCGAGCCATGCCTGGCTAGCTGGGGAGATTTTCATGCCAAGACCCGGTGGGACGGTCCCACGGCAAGCACGTCCCAGTTCTGCGGTGGGGCCAGGAGTAGCTGCTCAGGGGGCATCTGGGAGGGAAAGGGCGGCCAAGCAGTGATGCCGGGTGGTCCTGGTGGGACTTCTGAGATATTGCCCAGGTGCCTGTGGTTCAGGAAAAAGGCAAGAAGGATGCTGGTGTCTCCATGTTCCCTCTCACGGCCCTGGGGCTGCTGGGCCGGCCAGGGAGACCAAGGAGCTTTCCAGGCCGACTCCAGAAACTACCTTGACCCTGACCCGTCTGGCTGAGGATTTGGGCCCAAGCAGGCTGGCCAAGGCCGCCCTCTCGTGGTCACCACAGGGGAGGCAGGAACCCACCTTGCAAAGGTAGGATTGTCACACATTCCTTCAACTAGTACAGAATAAACATCACCAGGCTTGTGCTTTAACTTTAATTAATGTATATATTCAGGCCAGGCTCGGTGGCTCAGCCTGTCAATCCCAGCGCTTTGGGAGGCCGAGGCGAGTGGATTGCCTGAGCCCGCGGGTTCGAGACCCGCCCTGGCAACTTGGCGAACCCTCATCTCTACAGTAAATAAAAAAATTAGGCAAGCGTGGTAGCACGCGCCTGTAGTTCCAGCTACTTGGAAGGCTGAGGCGGAAGGATCGCCGGAGCCCAGCAGGTCGAGGCTGCGGTGGCCGGGAGCGGCCACTGCACTCCAGTCTGGGTGATAGAGTGAGACTCCAACTCAAAAAAAAAAATTAAAAAAAAAAAAGTATATATTTAGCCAGGTGCAGTGGCTCCTGCCTGTAATCCTAGCACTTTGGGAGGCCAGGGTGGGAGGATTGCCTGAGGCCAGGAGTTGAGACTAGCCTGGGCAACATAGTGAGACGCCTCTACAAAAAAAGAATAAATATATATATATATTTCTTCTGCTAAGGGAAAAGCTCTCTCCTGAGTGTCAGTATGTTCTGGCAAGGAAGAGGAGCAGGAGGTGGAGAACGAATTCCTCACAGGGGTGATTCTCCGACCAGGCTGTGAAATCAGAATTACCTGGAGAGCTTGCAAAATACCAGCACCCTGAGGCCCATCCAGACCAACTGAATCGGAATCTGTAGCAGTGGGCACAGGCACCACCGGTGGTTTGTGCTAGGAAAAGCCACTGGGCCAGCCAGGCAAGAGAACAACTGGTTTAGGGAGTTGACTAGCTTGTTTCCCATCCCTCCTCCTCACCTGACTCTGAGGCAGGTGTCCCATTTCACAGATGAGGAGAATGAGGCTCAAGGGAACTCACTTTTTTCTCTGTTTCAGTTCAGGATAGAGATGGGAGTGGGGGAGGCAGCAGATACTCCTATGAGGCTGTGTCTGGCCCCTGAAGAGACTCTCATCGTCACAATGGTTGTATTGTTTGCTATGATTAGAAAAGTACCCAAGGTCACTGTGAAATCGGTTTTTTAAAAAAAATTTTATTCCAGGTAGATAATTATCAAGGCAAAGTGGTGCGTACAAAATTCACCTGCAAAAAAAAAATTCACCTGCAATCTCAGCATTGTTAACACTTAGAAGGTATGTCAGGGAGGGGAAATAGACTTATTTAAGACTCAGGGTCACATCATAAATCAGGGCTTCTGGAATATGTGCTCCCAAGTCCACTGACACCATAATCCTCTGCAGTACTTGATAAAAAATGCAGTGACACAGAATTAGACTCTGGAGAAAGAGGTTGAGAAGCTGCGTGTTGTGTTTCTCTTTTTCTTGTTGTTTTTTTTTGTTTTTTTTTTTTTTGAGTCAGAGTCTCACTCTGCCACCCAGGCTGAAGTGTGGTGGCACGCTCATAACTACCCAGCATCGACCTGCTGGACTCAGGCAATCCTTCCACCTCAACCTGCCATGTAGCTGGAACTACAGGTCCACACCACCACGCCCGGCTAAATTTTTTTTTAATTTATTGTAGGTCTTGCCAAGTTTGGTTCTTTTGTTTTTGAGTAGGAATCTCACTCTGTCACCCAGGCTGGAGTGCAGTAGCACACTCACGGCCACTGCAGCCTCTGTCTGCTGGGCTTGGGTGATCCTTCTGCCTCATCCTTCTAAGTAGCCGGAACCACAGGCGTGCGCCATCATGCATGCCTGGCTAATTTTTTGATTTATTGTGGAGACGAGGTCTCACCATGTTGTCCTGACTGGTCTCAAACCTGTGGACTCAGGTAATCCTCTTGCCTCAGCCTCCCAAAGTTCTGGGATTACAGGTGTGAGCCACTACGCCTGGCTGGCTGGGCGATTCCTAGGGCCAACTAAAGTCCAAGAACCATCCCCTCTCCCTTCACCTAACAATACTAGATGAGCGTGTGAGCAGACACCCATCCCTCCTGCAGCCCTTGGGTATGGATTGACGTCTTCAGATCGACTGAATCCGTGACTGAGATTAGAACCAGCTCTGTCCTGGGAGCTCTGGGCACCTGCCCCCAGTCCATACCAGCTGGCTAGCAGCTAGCAGCACGAACCCAGGGTTGCCCTGCCACCTCCCACCAGGACTTGCCCTCTTCTTCCAGGGTTCTAAAGCAGCTTAGTCACAGGCCCTGCCAACCAATCGCGGCCTGAATAACCTATGATGTCACCAGCAGCCAATCAGAGCTCCTCACCAGTATTGCAGGAGGCTGTCACTCTTAACTGAGGATGAAATTCCAAAGCATCACCATCCTGTTTCCGACAGGGACACTGAGGCCAAGAGAGGAACAGAGACCCATCCAGGGTCAGCACACACAGGTGGCGAAGCTGGGACCAGAAGCCAGGACTTCTGACTGCAGCCCGGGAGTCATTCTCTCCACAGCCCCCAGGGAGAGCTTCCTGGGTAGCTCCTGAAACAGGTGTTGAGTTCAGCACCCCCGCTCCCCTCCTACCCCCCCCCCC